ACTTCTTTGCATGATCTTTTTTCGAAAAATAGTCTGGTACAACTTCCTTTCAATTGATGCAGTAGGGTCTCTTACGATCTTCGTGTATTTTCCTTTCTGAAGCACCTATTCAATCTTCTGTTCGTAGAGATCAGTATCCATCACAACAGTAGCGTTTCCCTTATCTGCAGGTAAGATTTTGATGGTGTTGTCTCTACGTAGCCCGCTCAGGGCTCTTCGTTCTTCATTGCTGATATTTGAAGTTGGAACTGGTTCTTCGATCTAGCTGTTCTCTGATTTTCCATCTGAATTCTTCTGCCTCGATCTGTTCAATAAGGGAACTGGTGGATTCTACTGCAGTTATTATTTCCAAAGTGGGCACAGATGTTAGTGCAATGGCGAAGTTTAGACGTTTCCTCAACAAAGATTCCTCTATTTCCGTGAGCGGGCGGGAACTCATGTTAATGACGTTGGCGGCTTCATAGTTGTTCTGCATTTGGGAATTGTTTCCTTACTAACTTTCCCCACTTCCTCTTGTGGGTATTCTCCATGTCTTGTCTGATCTTTCAGCTTTTGTTAATATTTCAATTTTTATTTGTTTGGTTGTTGTTGTATGTTATTTCTTTGTAATTTCAGTTTTTGTTTGATAAAATTGTTATTTTCGGTTAATCTATTTGCTTTTTTCAGGGTTATCAAATCAATTTATATTATACTAGACAATGGAAGTCCGAACTGATGAAATATTCACCTCCTGATTATGTTATTTTCCCAAGTGTAAAATTTTCTCTACATGTAATTCATCAAAAAACCCAAATATGACTCTACCAGGATGTGTCAAATCACGTACAAGCAGTTCGAACTGCTTCTGTGATTTTTCTGTTTTTTTTTTTGTTTTTTACATGTGTTACATTGTTTTGTGAGATTTCAGTTTACTATGAATATGAACATTATTATTATTATAATTATATTGTTTGGAAACCATCCAGAAATACGTACACGATATCTGAGCATTGGCAGAATATTCAGTAATCCCAGAATGATACCCAATACGATGTACCGCAAGGAACGATCTTAGGTCTCTTGCAATTCATTCTGTATCTGAATCTTTTTTCTGTATACATCTGATATGATTGTCTTTTACATCGATACGAATTGAGAACGCTTTAAAGTGAAGATTGAGGGAGATTTTATTGAGATATCGAATTGGTTCAACATTGAATTTTGGAAAAACTCTTTTATCTCATGCCATTTGATCCGTATGAAATCGATCTACCAGATTATAATGTGTGGCAAATGATTGCCAGAATAATACCCCATACGGTGTACCGCAAGGAACGGTCTTAGGTTTCTTGCTATTCATTCTGTATCTGAATCGTTTTTCTGCATACATCTGATATGGTTGTCTATTACATCGATACGAATTGAGAACGCTTAAAATTGAAGATTGATGGAGATTTCATTCAGATATCGAAGTTGTGTAACACTGAATTTTGTAAAAGCTCATTTATCTCATGTCATTTGATCTGTATGGAATCGGTCTACCAGATTATAATGTTTTGCAAATGATTGAAGGAGATATAGTTACAAAAAATACCTGTGGAGTATCTCGGCTCATATAGCGATAGCCACCTCATATGGGATGCTCATATCCACTATGTTTTGAGAAAATTGAGATCCTCGCACGAATAACATAGTTGGACAGAGAAAGTAGCCTCACTTATTTAGATTCGAAAATGGTCAATACCTTGCCATTAGAAATTTCGAATAAGATATTTACGAAACATATGTCATAGTCTGTTCTTAAAAGAACTCTGTTGAAGCAATTCAGCAACTTCTGATGCTTCATAAAGCTCAGGTCTGACCTTCTTTGGTGTATTGTTCTCATCTATGGAGCTCTACCCTGAAGCTGCTGGATTACTTGCAACCTTGCTAGTCTGGAACATCGAAAAAAGGTTGGAGATTTGACTCTCTTTTATAGATACTTTCACAGGAGGTGTTCAAGTGACTTGGCACATTTGGTTCCACCAAGATCGCTACATATCAGAAATACGCGACGGATTATGACTGCTCATCGATTTGAGGTTCAACTCAGTACTCCTCGAACTCCACTGTTTAAGAATTCTTTCATTTGGAAAACTGAGTTTATGTGGAATAAACTTCCTGAGAACATTCTTTCGAATGAATTTAATCTCCAGCGACTCTAATCCAACGTGAGTCGCTACTTTCGCATAGGCATCGCCCTTAGAGTCCTTCAAGGATTCTTCTGTGGTGATTGTGTTTCATCATTTAATAAAGCTTTTACTTCACACAAAGGATGAGAGGCGATGAAAAACATTGATTGAACGTTTGTCTATTAACTATTAACAAGCGTTCAAATTATTACATTCCTGCTTCCATACACATAAATCTAATGGACTCAAATCGGTTGATACTGCGGGTCACTCCGTTCAATTCACTAGGTAAAGTGATAAATACTGACAAACTGCAAACAAGAGTGGTGGTGATTTGGGATCAATCTCTTCATAACAGTTACTTTGTTCATTAGTATCTGCCGATATGAGACTGTGACCGTCCGCCTGGAAGCTTTCTTGGTAGAATGAAAACTGAACATTCCACCTCACATGCTTAGCTTCTCAAGATGTTGTGTGTGAAATTCATGGACGACAAGCCTACTTTTCCACTCATATCAACGTCGTTCACCGAACGATTATCGATTTCCGGAATATATCGTAGCAATGCCTTCGAGCATAATTCAGTTTAAGAAATAACGATGTTCATATCGACAGATTGACTTATGAATGTTATTTTTATGATTTACCCAGTGAATACTAATGATATTTATATATTTTCAGTTCAACTTGAATGGATTGATCGACAATCCCGAGTTCAACTCCCTTTTGAACACTATTCTAAACGATAATTTCTGCGACTTCATCAGGGATAGTTCTGAATTGATCTCCAGCCTTCTTAGCTCCATTGTTGAGAACGTTATCAACAGTGCATTGAAACCAAAGAATGACCTTATTGAAACATCACTGAAAAATATTGCATTGGCAGATAGACGCCTTCGTTAGTGACGAAATAATATGAACTGGAATAAAATCATATTTTCATTTATTTGTTTAGCAGAATCAGAACATTGTTCAATGGCTTTGTAACACGTTTATTAGAAATAAAAATGTGTGATGTATACTAGACTCATTTTTATCAAATGCCAGATATTTCTGAAGCCCCAGGAATTAGTGTAGGACCGGCCACGAAAGAAAGGTGAATAGCCTGAAATTTGATATTTGAAAGCATTCATCATTTACCGCAGTGTATCTGAGCAAGCAAAGTAACTATTGCAAAGATTGACTTGATCATAATGAAATAAAAAAAAAGTTGAATGGTTCAATCGCAAAATGTACTGAAAAGTAAAGAATAATTCGGAAGGTTCTAGGTACTAGACATCACACCACTTGCCTCAGCAATCTACGGTATTGATCAGATGAAAAAATAATGAAATCTTTTGGCGAAGCGTTCTCTGTTTTTCCTCTACTAGGTTTTCCTTCCTTCTGATCCTTTCCAGGTGTTAAACCATCTGTTGCCTTTTTTCTAATAATAATATACTTTATTGTCACTAAGAATGTATGTATGTACAAGCTCGTGAAAAATAAATACAAATGTAAGTATAGAATCATAAAATATGAATATAAAAACATCTACAAAAAAGTAAAGTTACAACATACACTATAGTTCAACGCCGACATTTTGTATCAACATGGTTGTGTAAAAAAATTCAGAAGCAGAAGGTCATTTTTTTTTCAATGAAACATTTTTTTTCCAAATCATCTAAAACAACAATTCATTCAGGCCGGTCTCAATTCCTTACACTGTAGGTTAATGGACTGACACCTATCAGAAAACAACTACTCTCCTGGCTATGCCTACTGACTATATGTGGAAAGATTTCTTTCCTTACACGAGAAATTAGACAAATTTCGGATATGCGGTTGGTTACTCTCGTTCACAGGTAGATGGGGCGATGACAAACCTGCTGTTTGTTGTCGCTTCAGCCTTCTTCGAGGAATAATACTCTGGAGGAATTCGATTTTCAAGTATCGGAAATCATCGACTTTATGTTGATGATAGATACTAACTTACACTGACGAGTGGCCAAACAGCCCGAAACCGATCTACAAGTATGTTCCAATAATTGAAAATCTATTGCAGCAGTTGTATCGCCAACAGCATAATCAGGAATAACTTCAGTGAAGAATCCTGCACTGACACCTGTCGGATATAATCTAACGCCCTTCGTAGTATTAGCCAGGGGAGTAGTTGTTTTCTTATAGGTGGCATTCCATTAACCTACATTGTAGGGAATTGAGACTGGCCTGAACGAATTGTTTTTTAGATGATTTAATTTATAGACATTTTTCAAGTATGCCCACTGACTATATGTGAAAAGTTTTCTTTTCTTATACGAGGAATTAGGCGAATTTCGGATATGCGGTTGGTTACCTCGTTCCTCGTTCACAGGCAGATGGGGCGATGACAAACCTATTTTTTGTTGTCCGCTTCAGCCTAGTTCAGGGAATGACAGCCAGGCAGATTTATAGCCAGTCTCCAAGTATGCCCACTGACTATATGTGAAAATTGTTTTTTCACTATATTTTTTGAAATGAAGGTACATTTCATGTAGCCAGAATCAATTGACGGTGATATCCAATTTGAAAGATGCAATTAGAGTTGAAATATAACAGCTAAACCAGTTGTAGGAAGGTATGATAGAAATCAGAGTGGTACCAAAAGCATTAGCTTCGAGTACTACTTTGACTTGATGGTGTTTCTGTCCTCGGATGAAATGTTGTAAAGTTTCGCTGGACGTAGAAGTTTCGATTGAACTGAAGGAGTTATCAGTTGAGAGGTCTATTTTTGAAATGTAACGTAGCAGATAAATATATGATCTAAGTCACCAGGTACACTACATACATTGTAAATATCAAATTATACCAGGTCAGTTCTATGGAGACAAAGAAAACCACATATATGGAATTTGCTTTTGTGGTTATTTTATGGTGAAGACATTTTATCTGTAATTCATTGGAATCCCAAACGAAGTTGTCAAGTATTCTTTCTATTAGATTTCCCAATTTTTGCGTTTGGATTTTGAGGAGGCGAACATCTTTCTGGAGAATAAAATTCGAATGAAAGTCTGAAGCTGTGAAACTCAATGAAGTCACCTACGTTCACTGCGGCAGGAGCGGACCTGGGAATTTTTTCACTATAAATAAATAAAAATTAGGATATTTGGTAAACCTGTTGAGAATTTCAAATGAAACCAACCACTGCACTTGGCGTTATATATTGTTTTTATTCCATGCAGGTATCTAGTAATCGGTTGCGTTTTGGTAATGGGCAAGAGTGTAGGACTGGCTTAGGCTCCATAATTGAATATTTTCTGTATCCAAGGGGTGTTCCGCCGTGCCCCGAGGCTGAATCCACCACTGTGTGAAGGAAATACTGCTCGCAGTAAAGATAGATAAACAATTTGTGCGTATTTATTCGAGAAGAATTCACATAATGAAAATAAATGTATTATAAAAATTTTAAACATTGATACCAAAGTTGAATTATATAACCAGTAATACTAATGTGGACTTCATTTAGGAATAATACACTGAACTTCTATTTTACATTCCAATAATATTTCAAACAGCAACTGACATTTAACTAAATAAAAATATTCTCGGTCAGTCAAGCCGGGGCTTGGCTCCTAGCAATCAACGTCTAAATTGGTAGCAATTCGCCAAATGTGTCATCGAAATATGTCATCGAATTCCTATTCACAGCCATCATTTGGCTCCATCGTTGTCGTCGAGAATGATGCCAGTTCACACTAATAAAACCACAGGTTCAGGAAATTACTTTTTTTCAGGGATACTGATTATTATAGAATGAAGAAAACCTTTTTTTGTTACCCACTCAATATATCATCTTCTGGGGTGTATCTATTATTTCGAAAAGTCTTTATTATTGTTTTCATGGAAAAAGCACTTCAACATGTTAATAGTTGCTTGCCTGTTGAAAATGCTATTAAAATAGTAGTACACCATTTTTGGAAAAGCCGTTTGAGAAGAAATGATGATTTTTCGACAACTGCAAAATTTCCATTTCTAATTGCGTCCTGATGATATCAGAATATTGTATTCATGATTTTCAAGATAACTACCAGTGAAAACACTTCAATAGATATCACTTTGTTTTCAGGTGCCATTTATATTTTTCTAATTCTCGTTTCTCTTATCAAAAACAATACCTTGGTAGGTGAACAAATATAAATTTCTGAAAGTTGCGAACCTGAATACATATCAAAAGATCTTCTCAACTCAACTAACTTTTGTGAACGGGATAAATATGACTTTTAAAGTATGGCTGTGGTTGGGACTTTTAGTGTTGGGAGTGAGTGCTATGGTTCCAGAAGATTACAGAGGTGAGATTTTCGAAGTAGCAATTTCACGAAATGAGTTTCAGAAGTCAATTAGAGAAATTGAGGAAACAAAATGCGGAATTTCAAGCGGGAAACATATGAATTTGGATCTTCGTACCTCAAATCGAATTCCAAATATTGAATCGTAACATATTTCTTTTTGGAGAAAAAATACCTTTGAGCAGAAAAGTTAGAGGTGATATTACCTACAGTGAAAAATTGACATTTAGAAATGTCAATCGCCACTTTACCAGGATTTCCACAACACGAAGTTTCATTTATTCTATCCGTTCTCTAAAGTTAAGTTCAGGTTAATGCAGCCGATTCATTCCTTATGAATAATCCTTCACCTTATATAGTACTTTATTTCTCTTTATGGTAATGTAAAAATCAACTGAAATCAGTAACCATATCTGGTAGGTCATTTTTTTGAAATTCGATAACTGCAGAAAATAAACAACTGTTGAATATTTTCAGTGAAAAATTGATTAATTGATTTTTTCAGACACTTATCAAAACCAAAAGTATGGAGATTTTATTGGAGATATCATAAATGGAACAATGAACAAGATTTTACGGAATATTTCTGATTCTGTACATTTACCGTCTATTGCTGTAGTTTTCAAAAATAACAGTCTAATAAGGTAAGTTATTGACATTGGAATATCACTCAATTTTGATAATAATGATTCTGACATTTGTCACAGTCGTTCTTTTATCGATACTCCTCACACCAACTACGGTGTCTTCATTAGAAAATATAAAAATTTCTAGAGATTTCATCTACTATATATTTATGTACGACACTTTGCTATTTCCAGACTCTCGAAAGCCTCTAGAAGTCTGGTGTTGAATACGGGTCTCAGTATTTTTGCAAATATATTGCTGTGTTTGTACCTACGAGGAAGTTATGAAGTTTCCGACCTAACGAAGATACAGGACTTTTTTTTTTAATTTTCTACATTTGCCCAGCGATGCTCCCATCTCTGAAACCCGCCTAAATAGTAAATGTTTTTGGTTTAACGTGGGCAAACGCGGCACCTAATGCGCGGTCAGCTTTGTCAAGCCTGAATTTTTTTTAGGGCAGAAAAATCCTTGGATTTGATTCGCTGGAGATTAAATTAATTTGAAAAAACGTTCTTAAGAAAGAGTTCTTGAACAGTGAAGTTCGAAGTGTACTGAGTTGAACTTCAAAACGATGAGCAGCCACAGTCCGTCGCGTATTTCTGATATGTACCGCTTTTGGTGGAATCAAATGTGCCAAATCACTTGAACACTTCCCGTGAAAGTATCTAAAGAAGAGATACAAATCTCCAACCTTGGTCGATGTTCCAGACTGTCAAAGTCGCAAGTGATGTTAGCTTCTCCAATCAGGTGGGTGGCTCTTTTCTGGGTGGAATTCAGCAGCTTCAGGGTATGCTTAGGGGCGGAGCTCCATACATGTGAACAATACTCCAAAGAAGGTCTGATCTGAGTTTTATGAAGCAACAAAAGTTGCTGAAGCTTGTGCCAAAACATATCGGTGTCCATTTTAACCCCCAACAAACTTATCTAAGCAGAAAGAGGAATTGTCTGACCTGACATTATTATATCCGGTTCGGAGATTTTTATCTTTTTGGAGAAAACCGATGATTGGGTTTTTGTGGCATTGAGTGGAACCTGGTTACTTTCACCCTAATTCGAAATTACTCCTAGGTCCTCATTAAGATATGCAACCACCTGCTGCCTTGAAGATGTGCGTCCGCAGCTGATGTCCGGGAGTTAAAATGTAATGACGAGAAAAGTGCGCTGTCGTCAGCAAAGCAATAGAATAGAATAAAATAGAATAGTTTATTGGCTACTTGATACATTTGAACAAATATTTGTAGCAAGTCAAAACACAAAAATTTCTAAATATGACGTCATATATACAAATAAAACCATCACAATGCTTGTATAATAGAACAGTGTACATAATAATGAAAACAATCAATCAACTAATGTTAAAAATGAGTCAACTCAAAGTCACATGAATTATCTATGTTGTATAACATGTATTCATCTGTAGAATAAAAACAGTGATTCAAAAAAAATGATTTGAGTTTTTGCTTGAAACAGTAGAAACTGAGTTGTTTTATGTGACATGGTAACTTATTATAGAATTTCAAATTCAATGAATTATTTTGTGAGGTGCTCAGTCTGAATCTCTCAGTTCTTATCAGATTTCCTGATCTTGTAGGATATTCATGTTGTTGCGATTGTAAAATGTATTTTGATTTATTTTTATGAATTTCAATCAATGTTTTATATACAAAAGCTGTAGGAAGCGGCATTATTTTGAGATGAATAAAAAGTGGGCGACAATGATCTTTAAAGTTGGCATTAGATATTAGACGTATGACTCTTTTTTGCAATATAAACATTTTTTTGGAATAACAAGAATCCCCCCACAACACTATGCCATATACCATGTGACTATGGAAGAGTCCGAAGTACGAAGATTTGACCGCTCTTATACCGGCGAAATCCTTCAGTCTACGAATCATAAATATTGCACTTGATAATTTCTTGGCCAGTTTGTTAACATGACATGACCAATTCAATCTGTCGTCTATATGAACCCCCAGTAGCTTAACACTTTTACCCGAGGTTAAATACGTATTTGTGGAAATTATAAGATTTTGATTTTTAGCCTCATTAAGGAGAAGTCTATTTGAAACAAACCAGTTACTTGCAGACTTCATGGTGGCGTTGGCAACAACACTCGAATCATTAACACTACCGTGACAGTCCACCAAAGTAGTATCATCCGCAAAAAGAAAACATTTTTTAGGAAGTATGTGGTAGTATAGGTCATTTATATATAATATAAACAAGATTGGTCCCAGTACAGAACCCTGGGGCACACCATGTTTGACATATTTCACATTCGATTTAATGCCATGTAATGATACACACTGTGATCTATTGTGCAAATAGGATTCAAAGAATTTAAGGAACAGTCCGCGGATACCATAATAGGAAAGTTTCTTAAGCAGAATATCATGCGAAACACAATCAAATGCCTTCGATAGATCGCACTATTATTAGATTCTTGTTTTTTTTCAATAAGTCGTTGATATAATATAAAAAGAGGTTTGGAGACTGTTGAGTCACACCTCAAATATTGCATCGCTAGTACAATTTTCATTCAATCCACATTTTATTATTTTCATCATATTGTGCCTTTCAACGGGATTGAGTCATAAAATATCAAGCCTTGTTTCTTTTAGAAATCCTCAGCATTCCAATTTCGATAAGATTTTATACCTGAGATTGTATTCCTGAAAATCCGTAAATAATTATAAATGGTCGGTTCACCTTATTGCTCCGTAATCCATCACAAATCTCAAGAAACATTTGAAAGTAGTGGAATTATTATGTGTTACTATTATTATTATTAGTATGTGCCCTCTTGGGTTTTCCTAAGATTACCCAAAGGATTAAGCCTGGTTCGGTACTATTTCCTTTAAAGAATATTTACATCTAGCTGTAGAATCTTGAGGTGGTATTTGTGAATCTCCTCATCTATGGGGTGGGCCTATTCAAATGTCTGACCAATGACATGCCTTCACCCCCGAATTTTTCTCCCACCATATAAAGTTGCCCAAATCTCAGGTTGATATTGTGATTTTAAAAATGCTATCTTCGCATTTCTTTAATTTGACACAAGACTTAGTGCAAGCCTTGTGTGTAACTCAAATATGGATGATAAATCATACGTTAAAAAAGAGACAATATGGATCCCTGGGGGACACCAGCGTTGATGACGAGAGAGATACCCATCAACGGCCACTTGCAGGAAATGGGTTTTCAGGAAACTGAAGAGCCACACAGAAAAATGATCCGACAAGTCATGGCATCGAAGTTTGGCCAGAAAACACTCATGACACATACGCTCAAAGGCCTTGGAAATATCAAGCGCAATAGCTCTTGACTCTCTATGTTTCTCTATTGCGTTATTCCAAATATGGGTGATATACGTCGCTTGTTGATCTTTGTTTCCAAAGGCCATATTGTTGATCACTCGAAATGTTGAAGCCTTCCAAATATTTGAGGATATGGTGGTTTGCGGCTTTCTCCTTGGTTTTTGATATCACTAATAGCAAAGCGACTAGTCAATATTTTTTTCAAAGATTGTTCTTGCCCTGTTTGGGAATGGGTTGAACGCAAGCAATCTTCCAACAAGAAGGAAATACCCCTTTTTCGTAAGGCAGGTTGAAGAGTCTGAAAAATACTGGTGCGAGTTCATTTGCTCACTTTTTAAGTACGATGACGGTCACTTCAGCAGGTCCAGAGTCCTTGTTGATATTGATCTGTTTCGACAATATGCTGTCGAAAAGTAATTTCCGGCATATTGATTTGACATGTTCATGATCTACTTCTCTCACTTCAATTCGGCGGTTGTCCAGCACCGTTTGGTAGGTTTTGGTGATATTTTCGTCGGTAGTTACAGTTTTTGAACGTTCCGAACGTTTATTGTCCCACAAGCTCTTAAGGCCACGTTGGAATTCAGCTGCCCAAAATTTTACTGTGGTAATTGATAGTGCAGAGTCCCCATTAACAGAATTCATCTTATCTTTGATTTGCGTAGGCGTATTGCCTTTCATAAAAATATTTATGAAAGCTCGATACTCGATTTTATCCACTTTTATGAAAAACACTCATACCAACTCACTCAAACGACTGTCACATAACAACTGCCCATCCAAAATGGCTGAAACTTTGGTGAGTAATTGTCAACAGATGAACAACTAAATCCATTAGCTTTCATTTACGAGTGCTGCTATCTTTATGGTGAGGTCGGAAAATTTTCAAACTACCCTCGTATGCACTATTCCCAATAATATTTCATCAGGTTAAGGACAATGATCTTTTTTGTTACATATAATTTGTATAACCCCGTATTGAAATTATTTCAATTTCAATAAGGGGTTATTCAAATTTGAAGTGAATGTCTGTATGATATATAATTACCACAAAAAATACAGGTCCGTTTATACAATATCAGTTTTTTAACAAACTGAAACCGGTCGTATCAAATGAAAAACTTAGTAGGAATAACACAATTTCTATATTGAATCCTTTATATTGAAATCCCCATGCCGAGACTGAAATTTGAATAACCCTGGATAATATAGGACATTATGATTCGGAGGTTGTATTTTTAGAAATCATGATAGGAAAGTTCAGAGTCAAGAAGTTGCAACACATCTAACAGTTTCATTAATGGGTTAGGTTAGGTTAGGTCCAAAGTAAGTGGGTCTATTCGACCCTCCATCGCAACCTGCAAGGGTTTACTGTGGTTCACACCTATTTACACTCCAACAAATAAACCCAGCCTCTTAACGAAGAAGATTAGTTTGAATGGTGAGTGGTCTTTCAGGTCAGATGGTAAGAGTACGGCTCTGTCGAACTCTAAAAAACTGATTCGGTTCATAGAGGGGCTAGCACAAAGTATATGCTCTGCTGTTTCACCGTTAATGAGGTAGTCGGATAGTCAAGTTGCAAGATTTCCACCTTGAAACCAGCGACAACCTTCCCATATGAGGGTATTTGCACGTCAGCTACAGCTGACGATACCTTAGATTCAACCGTGTAGGGCTTTTCCGCCACTGGTTTTGGTGAATCATCACTTGAGCGCAAACGTTTGCTGAATTGTTCATCGGGGGTTTGTTCCTCCATCTGAGACAGATTGTGCGTACGCCGCTCAAGAATTTGGTGCAAGGCGGTTTCATAAGGTACATCGCTCTTAAGGAGACGAATCAGTCGTTTCCTGGCTGCACCACCAAACCTTTTTTTAGGTTCAGTTATTGGATCAGGAGTTCGAGAGTTGAGAAGCTCTCGCTCCTGGTCTGAATTTACAGGGAGATCAGTTGGATTCATAAGCTCGACATCCATCTCCTCTGTAGACTCAGCGTTAGAAAAAATGTTTAAGTTTACTTTGTCCATAAAATTCCCACGAGTAGCTAGGGAAAGAAGGTCAATCACGGCAGAGCCCCGCATTACTGTGACAAGGCGATGCCACGACGAGAGGGCGCCCGTATCTCGAAGGTTTCGTAGAGACAGCTGATAGGCTCAGTGTCATGCGTTCTCTCGGCACGGATACACACCTTAGGATTGAGTCATCGTTGGGATGCTATTCAGTTAGGGAATAACAGAACCACAAGTGATTCTGTCATTCCCGTATCCAGCGGGGCTACGTAGAAGCTGTCATCCGATGGCCGGTTAGCTCAACCCACACATCCCAAGCCAGTTTCATTCATAATTCCGGAAAGAGATAATTTTTGCACTTTCAATTAAGAAAAACTTAAAGAGATAGTTTTTAGGTCTAGTACTCGACTCTATAATAAAATAGGTATTCATTTACTGACTGATTTATTTATGAGTATTTTTATACGTGTCTTGGTATTACCGAAAGAACAATTTTGCGATTTGATGGTGTTATCCAAAGTATATTAATTTTTAGTGGTGGACTCAATGTAACAAACTTCAAAATAGACGGACTGCCGAACATTGTAGCGAGCGAAATAAGTTACAATATATTCAATTCCAAATTAAATATGACCATCCTAGTTCCAGACATCGATATCGGTTTTGGGTATTGGGCAGACATAGGCATTGGCGAACTCATACCATTTTATGGAGCTGGAAGAAATAAGTAAGTACGATCTAAAGTTTCGCAATTTCAACTGTGAATGATAACAATAAATATAATAGTGATCATAAAGTTGAGATGCTTTTGATTATTGAAGTCCTTGATGGAATGATTCCCCTTTCTATTCTCTAACCTCGAAATCATGCCGCACTAAGGCAGAAATCATAGCCGGAGAATGCAGAAGGCTGTCATTCTTAGCTGCGTTTGCTTGAAGCACATGATTCTCGCATCCATTGCTCACCTACCCCATGGTGTGGGGGGTAGTCATTGGTTGATAATACTGGCGCGTCCTCCCGAATGTATCTGGGCTTCAGAAACAGTAACCGATCAGCGAAACCTCGGGAGAATAAATAATGCTGCCAATGATAATAATAATAACTTTCAGTTAAAGGCTATTGCTAACCACCAAGCAGCATTGATTGCCTTGAGTGGACATGAATTCTGGTGACTTCTAAAAATCACTAGTGAGGCGAGCGAGAAGTATGCAGAAAATAACAAATTCCACGAGAGTTCTCGATTACTTCAAAAGCCTCCACGTGATGTGGATCACCCGCTAATCGCTGATCGGATGGAATTTATCCAAATATATGGATATGGAAGATAGAACGAGGTTATGAAGTGATCATGGAATTTTCAGAATACCCTTACCAGATCTACTATTTCCAACTGAAAGCTTATTTTCACCGGATACAGCAACATACATGGTGGAGCCGGTACCCGGCCCAACAAAGAAAGCACAACAATTTTGGAAGGAGAAGTATTTATTTTCAACATAATTACAGCTCTATACACTTGTAATATTGAAGTTGGGGTTGGAACGTCTTTCAATTCATGTATTTGCTTGATTGAATTTGAATTATTTCATGACTATTTTCCATACTTCCAAATGATGAAGGGTTTCGTAGAGGGATTGACCCGGCTCTTACTCCATGAGGTATTTTAGTAGCTTGATTTTTTCATATGAAAATATTGGCGGCCACTTTTTGACTGGCAACCTGCCCTCAATGTATTTTCCTATTCATGAATGTATGTGAAAATTTGAGTTTGATCACCTACGCTATGAACGTAGTGATTTTGCGGCGGGATCCTGTACTGACTGTTTCTGCACACAGCTTTCTCATGTCCAAATTTTCAGATAATATACGATGTACCTCACTTTTTGAAATGCCTACTTAGTCTGCTAGCTCGCCCATTTTTAGTCAACGATCATTCAGTACCGCTTTGTCGACCTCATTTGGTCGACCACTGCGATGCTCGTCTTGGCAGCTCGTGCAGCCTCGTTTAAACTCTGCTATCCAATATTCTACTGTTGTAAATGAATTAGCAGACTCACCCAGAGTAGAACCCACGAGCCTGTTCGTGCGTCAAAGCCGGTTTGAAATGCCCCAGCATCTGCAAGAAATGCAGAGGCACCGACTGCGACAATGTCCCACTGTACTCCTCCGACCTGGACACAGATGGTGAGGAAGGGGAAGATACATTCACCTCATCAACCATGGATGAGGTCTACGAGGACCCACTCATCATGGCACCACCTATTCGTGAGGAGCCAGGACCGTCGAAATGTCTAAGAAGGAAGTGAAGTGAAAGGTTAACTTCTCTTTTCACTGGTCAATTTTTCAATGATTTAATTGTAATTAAATACTTCACTTGTTCACTTGTGAAAGTTGTTACCATACACATGTTTTCTCAATCTCTTGTCTCCCTTATTCCTGTTCTTATTCCTGATTGATTTTGTATTGGGAGGGCTCACAGAAAAGTTCTGAAGCATTCTCCTTGATTTTCATAACAATAACGCCTATTTCGAATTTTCTGCTAAGCACCATTTTGTGGAAAGAAAACTCTTTTTATTTCATTCACCATGGTTTTGTTTCACTGTATTGACTTTATGCCCTGATGAAGCTTTAAAACAATGCGAAAGCTTGGCGAATAGGTGCTTTTTCTCACATTGCATTGGACTGTGAGAGTTTCGATATTCCTACTCATTCCTCATCAGTTATCAATTTGGGGTTGGGGGTGGAAAGGGGAGTTGGTGATGGGGGGTCTGGAGAACCTTATCGGACCAAAATATAATTCGAAAATACAACCAAAGAATGCATGGGTCGCAATAACACACACAAGAGAAGGCGCTATTTGGCTTTTTTACCATTTTGAGATAAATGGTCCATCTTTGAGATGCTGTAGCTAGCTCCCTATTGGTCGTAGAAGAAAAAATGATAGTTGAAATTTGTAGGGAATTCAGTGTTCTACAACTTTGTATAGAAAGAGTTTTTCGCTAGAACCACTCCATTTCGAGATATTGCGAAAAAACCGAAAAATGTCCGAAAATTTCGAGGATTTTCGGCTACCAAAAGTTGTGCCGAGCCCAGATTTATTCACATTTTTTATATTTTACTTTTTATACCCATAAAAACGGAATAAAAAAATAAAATCTTCTACCCCACCTTTTGTGAGGTGAAATCCTCTGAGAACTGGACTAATGTGATTTCCACAGGATGGCGCTACGTGCCACACAGCTCATGCCACATTGGATATTCTGCACGAACGATTTGATGGCATGGTCATCTCATGTGGGGGTGATGTGAACTGGCCACCGAGATCGTACGATTTGACCCCGTTAGACTTTTTCTTGTGGAGTTTTCTTGAGTCGCAGTTGTATGCGAATAAGCCACAATCCAGCGCCCCTCAAAGCTAACGTTACTCATGCCATCAGTCAAATTAGGCCCGAATCATGCACCAGAGTCATGAAAAACAGGACGTTTCGGATGTGCTCAACCCAGAAAAGCCGTGGCGGACATTTGAACGATGATTTATTCATACACACTTTGTTTTATTCAAATTTGGAGATAGGAAGTTTGAGTTTTGGGTGTGCTTGTTTGTGGGGCTCCTATTGTAGACTATTATGTCTCTTCAGGGGCATGATGTGGTATTAATAATCAACATTTATTTCATGATTTATTTCAGCATCTACTCGAAACTCATAACTATTAATGTGAACGGATGCGCTAAATTGGTTCAGATGGTAAGAGTACGGCTCTGTCGAACTCTTAAAAACTGATTCGGTTCGTAGCGGGGCTAGCACAAAGTATATGCTCTGCTGTTTCACCGTTAATGAGGTAGTCGGATAGTCAAGGTGCAAGATTTCCACCTTGAAACCAGCGACAACCTTCCCATATAAGGGTATTTGCACGTCAGCTACAGCTGACGATGCCTTAGATTCAACCGTGTAGGGCTTTTCCGCCACTGGTTTTGGTGAATCATCACTTGAGCGAAAACGTTTGCTGAATTGCTCATCGGGGGTTTGTTCCTCCATCTGAGACAGATTGTGCGTACGCCGCTCAAGAATTTGGTGCAAGGCGGTTTCATAAAGTACACCGCTCTTAAGAAGACGAATCAGTCGTTTCCTGGCTGCACCACCAAACCTTTTTTTAGGTTCAGTTATTGAATCAGGAGTTCGAGAGTTGAGAAGCTCTCGCTCCTGGTCTGAATTTACAGGGAGATCAGTTGGATTCATAAGCTCGACATCCATCTTCTCTGTAGACTCGCTCCTGATTTAAATTTACAGGGAGGTCAAGTTGAGTCGTAAGCTCCACATCCATCTCCTCTGTAGACTCAGTGTCAGAAATGAATTTTAAGTTTACTTTGTCCATAAAAGTCCCACGAGTAGCTAGGGAAAGAAGGTCAATCACGGCAGAGCCCCGCATTACCGTGACAAGGCGATGCTACGACGAGAGGGTGCCCGGTATCTCGAAGGTTCTGTAGAGACAGCTGATAGGCTCAGAGTCATCCATCCTCTCTGCACGGATACACATACCTTAGGATCAAGCCATCGTTGGGATGCTATTCAGTTAGGGAATGACAGAACCACAAGTGATCCTGTCATTCCCGTATCCAGCTGGGCTACGTGGAAGCAGGCATCCGATAGCCGGTTAGCTCAACCCCCACATCCCTAGCCAGTTTCATTGATAATTCCGGAAAGAAATAATTTCGGCACTTTCAATTAAGAAAAAATTCCAGGGATAGTTTCTAGGTATAGTGCTCGACTCTATAATAAAATAGGTATTCATTTACTGACTGATTCATTCATGAGTATTTTTATACCTGTCTTGGTATTACCGAAAGAACAATTTTGCGATTTGATGGTGTTATCCAAAGTATATTAATTTTTAGTGGTGGACTCAATGTAACAAACTTCAAAATAGACGGACTGCCGAACATTGTAGCGAGTGTAATAAGTTACAATATATTCAATTCCAAATTAAATATGACCATCCTAGTTCCAGACATCGATATCGGTTTTGGGTATTGGGCAGACATAGGCATTGGCGAACTCATACCACTTTATGGAGCTGGAAGAAATAAGTAAGTACGATCTAAAGTTTCGCAATTTCAACTTTGAATGATAACAATAAATATAATAGTGATCATAAAGTTGAGATGCTTTTGATTATTGGAGTCCTTGATGGAATTATTCCCCTTTCTATTCTCTAACTTCGAAATCATGCCGCACTAAGGCAGAAATCATAGCCGGAGAATGCAGAAGGTTGTCATTCATAGCTAACTGCGTTTGCTTGAAGCACATGATTCTCGGACCCATTGCTCACTCACCCCATGGTGTGGGGGGTAGTCATTGGTTGATAATACTGGCGCGTCCTCCCGAATGTATCTGGGTTTCAGGAACCAGTCCCCGACCAGCGAAACCTCGGGAAAAAAATAATGCTGCCAATGATAATAATAATAACATTCAGTCAAAGGCTATTGCTAACCACCAAGCAGCATTGCCTTGAGTGGACACGAATTCCAGTGGCTACTAAAAATCACTAGTGAGGCGAGCGAAAAGTATGCAGAAAACACAAAATTCTACGAGAATTCTCGATTATTTCAAAAGCCTCCACGTGATGTGAATGACCCGCTAATCGCTGGTCGGTTGGAATTTATTCGAAGATGAGGACATGGAAGATAGAACTAGGTTACGAAGTGATCATGGAATTATCAGAATGCTCTTACTAGAGCTACTATTTCCAAATGAAAGCCTATTTTCACCGGATACAGCAATATACATGGTGGAGCCGGTACCCGGCCCAACAAAGAAAGCACAAAAATTTTGGAAGGAGAAGTATTTATTTTCAACATAATTACAGCTCTATACACTTTCCCCAGCGACATTCAATGAGTTAGATACCGTTTTTATAATAAGACCTGTCTTGCTGCTACCCAAAATAGCCATTAATGCCGATATCACTTTTCATCGTTAAAACCACACTTCGAACCACACTTCTTCAGCTCCATCTATATGTATGTATGTACCTAAATGGCTACATCGGGGAAATCAAATAAAGTAAAAGAAGTCTGAAACCAAATTTCATAATATTTGAGTAAGCATGAAATAAAAAAAATTGGAACTAACGGATAATTTGTTTATGGTTGAAACAACGATAAAAATAAAAATAAAACAATTAAAATTAATTGGCGCTCCGGGGCGACTTCATTGATACCAGTAGTGCATTTGCTTTTTCAGCTGCAGAAAAACCCAGAAAAACCAGCAGCACCACATCATCTGAACATCTTGATTTACCAATGTCCTCTCTCTTAGATTTTCAAGATAATTCTCTACTGGAGCCTCTGGAGACACCTTACATTTTGTTTTATTGTTTGTTTTATGTTTTTCATTGTCAAACATAACTGAAAAATATCAGATAAATTTCCAGCTAGGTCAGGTGTACCACAAGGATCGATTCTAGGTCTGTTCATAATTTTCATCAATGATTTACCGTCAGCTCTGAAATATATAGATTGTCTTCTTTTTGCTGATGATTTTAAACTTTTCAAATCAGTCCAAACAGTCCGAGACTGCACAAGTCAGCAAAAATATATTAATAACATTTCAGATTGAAGTTTGAAGAATAAATATAAGAGTTTTATCGTATTGCCGCAACTCTGTACTCGCTTTGTTCATCACGAGAGGATTTATCGCTGTTTCAACCAATCCTTTTTCATCCAAATAATGGAAGAACTCATTTAAAACTGAATGGAGGGTAGTTAATGAAATAGTTAAGGAAGATACAAAGAATCACCAAAAAACTAACATTATACTGCTACTCAGCAGGTACGATGAAAAGATGTGCTGCATTCTTAAAATGCTCTGGAACCGTTTCTGAAGCGTGATCAATGAATTCTGAATGAATTTCCCAATAATTTCTGTTGATCTTGACCTCCCTCAATATTTATAAAGATTCATATGCGAGGTTGCAACTTTCCTTTGGTCAATTTACTAAGGTAAAATGCTCAATACGCATCCGTGCAACTTTGCGTATTTGGAGATTGTTTTATATTTCCATATCCTGCAATCGTATTAATGTTGATGTCTATGAACTTGTAATATTTAAAGCTGAAATTGTGAATACTGAGTGTTTTTGTTTTGTAATATTGAAGTTGGGGTTGGAACGTCTTTCAATTCATGTATTTGCTTGATTGAATTTGAATTATTTCATGACTATTTTCCATACTTCCAAATTATGAAGGGTTTCGTAGAGGGATTGACCCGGCTCTTACTCCATGAGGTATTTTAGTAGCTTGATTATTTCATATGAAAATATTGGCGGCCACTTTTTGACAGGCAACTTGTCATAAATGTATTTTCCTATTCATAAATGTATGTAAAAATTTGAGTTTGATCACCTACGCTATGAACGTAGTGATTTTGCGGCGGGATCCTGTACTAACTGTTTCTGCACACAGCTTTCTCATGTCCAAATTTTCAGATAATATACGATGTACTTCACTTTTTGAAATGCCTACTCAGTCTGCTAGCTCGCCCATTTTTAGTCAACGATCATTCAGTACCGTAAATTTTCGGAAGTTATTCATGCTACAGGGAATAAAAAGTTTGAACTGACCGTGTTTTCAGTGAACCACACAAACAATAACATGAGGAGTGCCCCAAGGAACATTTCTTGGACCACTGTTGTTCAATGTTTACATAAATAGTACTCGTTTGTTATTTCTATACACTTCTGATGACCCTGCCAATGTGGGAAACACTGCAACTCGAATACAAAAAGCGGAAAGCATAAAATATCTTAAAATGGGATATTCAAATTGAACATAAGAGAAAAGTCAGAGGTTTCCTACGTAAATTCAATTATCATAGAGATTTTTTCGACCTAAATCACCCGAAAATATTTTGCTTTTCTTTGATAGAATATTAGGCTGGGGTCGTGTGGATGATTTTTTAAAAATTTAACTACATGCTCTACAGAAATAGATTTTGAAGGTTATATCTCAGAAAAATCGTAATTTTCCACCGAAGCAACTTATTACATATCCCAAATCAAGGACACCAGGCAAATCGATTTTCAAGAACTATTATATTCAAAAGATCTGAACGGAAAAAAATTATAATTATTGAGGGACAATCAGAGAACCACTTGAATGAAAAACGTGATATACGTATTATTCAATATGTATTTATTATTTGTTATTATGTCACTATGGATGCTAACTTTTATCAGCTTCATCAGAAATGTAGTTATTCAACACACAATCGCAAAATTCCTCAACTCAAAAATCTTTAGGCTGAATGGAAATTACTGACTTTAGATGGAAGTAATAATAATAATATCTCTTGCATCTTGCATTTGCTCAGATGCCTTGCCGACAAAATAGTGAGATGCATTGAATAACTGATACCACTCTGGCGAACTCGCTTCACCATAACGTCTGGTTAAGCCAGAGTCCAAACAGGGTGGGTCATTTTCAGAAGAGGTGTATTTCAGGGCGATTCCCTCAATACCCTTCTCTTCTGCAACTCACTACTGCCATTATCCGTTGCGCTCAGAAATACTCGAGGGTATAACTGTGGCACTCCCGGAAACCGGAGGCACAAGGTCACCCATTTGTTTTATATGGATGATCTTGAACTTTATGCCTCTGGAAAGAAGGATCTTCATCAGTCCTTGAGGATGGTGGAAAAGTACACGCCTGCTATCGGTATGAAATTCGGGATAGACAAATGTGCAATGGTTCATCTCAAAAGAGGACGATGCGGGGACTACGGAGAGGATGTGCAGCTCGTAGATGGAAGCATCCTACACCATTTGGATGCCAGAGAGTTGTATACTTACCTCGGGGTGGAACAACGTCACTCACAAGAGGTAACAACAGTGAAGAACTCTCTCCGCGGTAAGTGTCAGCACAAATTTCGACAGATCTGGTCATAGAAACTGTCGGGGAAGAACCAAGTTGCTGCAACAAATATGCTTGCCGTTCCAATCTTACTCTACTCGTTTGGAGTAGTGAAGTGGAGGACCTGTATCAACTCGACGTAAAGACCCGAAAAATGATGCATCTCTATAGCAATTTGCATACCAAATCTTCTGTTTCACGGTTGTGCTTTCCCCAAAAACAGGGATGCCGTGGACTTTGTTTGAAGTGTCTACATGACAGAATGGATATAGCCTGAAAAGTCGTCAGGAGTTCGGATCCCCTTCATCCTCTTCTCTGCATGTCCGTGACCATGAGAAAGCAGGAATTGGAGTATTTCTCTTTAGGACAGTTGGAACCCGTTCAGCAAAAAGCTCAGATAAAATCCGCAGAAATCATCTCACTTCTGCGGAAATACAAGGATAAGCCACTGCATGGGGTCTTCTTCAATAACATTGGAGACCTTGGCTTATCAAAGCGTCTGACTTTCGCTTTCCTCAGGATGGTGTCTTCAATACCTTAGTCTAACGCAGTCGCATGATGAGTATAGAGGTTCCTGACACAAGGTGCAGGGCCTGCCGCGTGGCGTCCGAGACCCTAATGCACTTGCTATCAGCATGTCCAGCATATGCGGTCTCGGCTTATATCCATCGACATAACGCGAGACACTGGTGTTGCCCAACGCTCCGGGGGATATTGAATCCGTTGTGGGGAACGAGAAGTGCCGAATTTATTGGAACTGATGGATCTGATGTAGTCCTTCCCGACCACCAGAGCAAGATGATATTTGTTATGGAGTTTTCAGCTCCTGGTGAGACGAATATCATCCGAAAGAGGAGGAAAAACGAAAAAAATATCGAAATTTTCTCTTCGAACTTCGCAGAATATATCCAGACCACTCTGTCGAAATGGTTGTTATGATTATTGGAGTCCTCGGTGAAATGATGCCCTCTCTACTCTCGAATTTCAAAATCATACCGGCTTGCCGCACTATGGCAGAAATCTTTGCCGGGCAGATGCAGGAGGCCGTCATTTTAAGCTCACTGCACTTGCTCAGGGCACATGATTCTCGGACCCAATGATCACTTACCCCACGGTGTGGGGACTGGTCGTTGGTTGATAATGCTGGCGCGCCCCCGAATGTATCGGGGCTTCCGGGGATAGGGCATGACCAGCGCATACTTCGGTTTAAAGATAATAATAATAACCTATTCTTCATTTGACAACTGACAATTGTATAGGGTTCGCCTAAAGAGATAAACTGGAAGCAGAATAAAAATAGCTGAACACTCGGACTTAACGAACAAACAAATAAACTGAGCAAGATAACCAACATAGATAAAAAATCAGTTTCGAAAAAATTCATCTATGGAATACACATATTTGGTCAACAGAAATTGTTTAAATGTTTTTTGAAACTGTTAATTGTTTCACAACCTTTTATCTTTTCTGGTAGTAAATTAAACAGTCGAGGAGCGAAACTCGAATCTTGTGCAAACTAAGAACTTACGAGGTCTTACCTTTTAACGTGTGATTCCTAACACCTGCTGATGAAATAGTTAATCCCCAGAAACATACTCAATAT